CATATATATCTTCCATTGATATCCTAATTTGCTTACCCTGCTTTAATATAAAATATTCGACACTCTGAACCCATTTAGCTGAGATCTGGATTGTTTTTCTTGTCATCTTGTAACATCTGAACTTCTCTACTAAAACTTTGGTCTTTCTTGTTTCTGCTGCTTCTATTGTTACTAGCGTGTGAGATATCTCTTCCTATTTCGAAAGCTGCGAATATTATGGTCGTCGTTTATGAATATGGCCTACTAGCCCTGTCCCAGATATAAAGGAGTTCAACCAGTCACTGAGAAATCAACTGCTACTTTTATACCACACCTACCGTAATTATCAGCCCTCACAATATCAGGAATGGAATCCGCTACCCTTAACCTCTTACGCTTTCGTCTGACCCTCAAAGGCACTCTAGTATACTAATCAGTACACCCTAAACACAGTAACAATTTTCCCCAAGCGGCGCGATACTTACAAAATACAACCACAAATCCCAATTCCCCTCTAACAGACTTTTAGACAATAAGTTTTCTTGCTGTCGATATATAATCTGCTGTCGATCGACAAGAACACACTACTTTAACAAAAACAAAGTTTACGCTTGTTTGCCTTAAATTTACTAATCAGATGTGCATATTAAGCCTCGTTAATGTGATGTCTAGCGTTAAGATCGTAGCGTGGGTAGGTAATGTTAATCTCGTCGCATGTTTCGATAAGATATTGTACTTGTGAAACCTGTGGTTGGTTACTCAGCTGAGATCCCAGACCCTCTTATAAAGGGTTGGGTGGTGGGAACCTCTTTTCCGAACAATTCATTTACAACCCCTCAAATTGATCCCAGGCCTTTCGAGCTCGTAATAAATATCCCAAGTTCGACAACTTAGCCGTCTAACGGGCACTTTTGGTCTATCTATACTACCAGGGGTGGAAGAATAAAAAGGGGAATAGATGTATATGAATGAAAAGCATAACTTACATCACTACAGAAAACAAGGTACCGGTATTAACTTCCATGAAGCTCAACGCCTTGGAAGCTCACAGAGATTACTTACGTACCAGCCACCAGAGCTTTCGCTATCCAACAGCCGTTGTCTTCTGAAACACTTTCCCACGATATCTTGTGGGAAGGTATAGGGGAGGGTAATGCCAGTAGATTAACATGTGTCGTCAAATACGTATAGTACATCAAGAAAACCCATAAATCATATCAGATGGAAGTTAAATAACAACTCAGAATATACATGGTATAGTACCTTCCACTCCCTCCCAATTCCCCCTCCCTATTCGCATAAATAGTGCAGCTAGGTATATCGCTCCCCCTCCCCTCCAGCGCCTCTATTCTCACTTAAAAGAAGTGACACAACATAAGCGAACTCCAAATCCACCACGAAAATATCTGCTCAGCAGAATTTATCCCTCTCAGACACATGTGATATGAGACCCGAGAAAAATGCGGGAGAGTACCTCACATTTACACCTACTAATTAACTAACCCCTCTACCGCCCAAGACACCTTTATCTTTTATATAAACCCCCAAAATGGTCTGAATGCTCTTGTTGTCAACGTTGAAATACATGCTATTGTCGAAACCTACACTACACTTTAAAAAACTCATAAGAGTAGTCCGGAGGTCCCTACCTCTATCACCCACTCTCTTTACTAATAACATCTCCACCTCTTCGACCGAATTCTTAAATGGTATTAGTAGTACCATTCCTCTATCCCTCTCCTCCCAATCTTAGGGTTAGGATGATATATTTTCGCTTCGTGTATGAACCTTAGGAATCAAGAGACGTCTTTTATAGGCCAGGCAAGAAAAGTAGCGATGTTGACGTCGATCGAAGACGTTGTAGCTTCAAGCTATCCCTTCTTTGGCAGAGAGAGAGAGAGAGGAAAGGAGAGCTCCGAATCTGCAACGCCCGAGAGTTTGAGATCCTTAACATTTTGATATAACACGATTTAGTCTACAAAACAACCAATCTTCCTTGCTAAAGCTATGCTTCAATAGATTTTATTAGCTTAGTAAAAGGGGAGAAGTATTTTCTTTTTATATCTTAGTATTATATCGGGGTTAACCGTACTATAATCTTACTTATGCTATAAATGAGTAACCTAAATCTTTGGAGCGGCAAGTTGATGAATCAATCGTTCACGACGATCGATAGGTTATTTATATGACTTAAAAAGATGGGATACTAAGATACTTTAGTAAGATACAATAATACCTGATAAGTAGGTAATTTCCTTCCACTCGTAGTAACTAAAAGGAATTCAAGTTCATCAAAAGACCAACTAACATCGAAGCAGAGTAAATAACAGGAACATCGCCGATTACTATATCATTACTTCGTCCCAGGCGAAATAAATGTAGGTTTATCAGGGGTTTTTACCCTGTTGCCAACCTTACATTAGCCACCCTAGAAAATCTACATTTATTCCGCCTAGGACGACGTACTTAGCTAGGTATATTCATATTCCGCACAATGGCTTCTGTACCAAGTCAAAAATGACGACAACAGTGACTTCAGGGGGAGAAGGAAGAGTAGCGCAAACCGAACAGAAGGGTTCCGGAAACTATTCCGAATTTCCTGTACTGTACTGTACCGTACTGCTGAAAAAATTCAACCCAACCAGACACCAATAAAATGATCAATCCCATCCCACCCCGTTCCTCGAGAAAAAATAAACTTTCACCCAGAGACCAACTTCGTAAGCCGCAATCTCTCCTCATCCTGGAATCTTGACTTTCCTCGTAAATTATGTTAAAGGCGGGGGGAGAGAGGGGCAAGGGGGGCCATGTCATCACCGACTGGACCGGGGAATATTTTTCTGGTGAGGGATGAGGGACGAGGAGAAAATAAGGACATTAATATGGGAGGGTTTCTGAAGTAAGCTTCATCACTTTTTGGGGTGGTAGGGGTTACCTGATGGGGGGAAATTCGTGGCAGTGTGAGATGGCCGAGGATGGGAGGAGTGAGAAATTGAGAGTTAGTGGGCAGGGCATGTTGCTGGGATTAATACTGTAAATTATTACCAAAGATATCCATTGAGTGGTTTCCTTCTTGGGGGTTCCCTGCTTGCGGACGCCGCGCTGAAGGGGGTTCTTGGTCATGTTGGTGGTGTTGCCACCTCCAAGTAAATTTGATGTACGGACTCACGGAAGTTGTGGGTGAGGAGGGGTTGTACTGTAATCAAGGTGTACTCGTACGTCTGCTTATGGGGGTGGGACATGAATTGCCTCAGAGCTTTCACATGATGAGATCAGGTTCCGTTGAGCTCTTTTTCCATGTCGGCAAGTAAACAATTGGTAACTGGTACCGTCTTCGTAGGCTGGAAAACGAATAGACCGTTATCTTTCAATCATCCGGCATGTGTCGTGCTCACAACCCAATAACGGAAACTCCAATAATGTCACCAACCCAAAATTCTTCCAAGGTTTGTCTCCCATGCAGACGCATCGGCAATAGGAAAAAAGAAGAAGTCTCCGTCTTCATTGAGCCATTTTCAATCAGCATCTAACCACATCCAGAAAGCGATACTTCCGTACCTGACTAAAAATACTACTTGGCACTAACGCAGCAGGGAAAAGTTGTGCCTGAGTGCTCTCCACCAATCAATGGAATGAAATGGTCTTTCGGACGTGTTCGCTCGGAGCTATATGCGGCCAAAGTGGCCAAAATAAATGAAACGACACCTTGATCATAATTGCCATCTGTTACTTGTACATGACAGGCCTGACAGCGCAGTCCCAGTTTTGCTAAGCCCTGCCAAGGTGCCAGGTTTGATTCCAGGGGGCCTTTATCGCGACTTTTGCAGGGATTCAGATTAAAGAATGGTGATCAGGTCTGGATGGGACGATCCCGAATCCAGATTTTCACTGGGGGAGAGGATGTACTCGTAAGGCTTCTTGTTTTTTGATCGAGGGTTCGTCCCAACTTTGAGAAATGATTCAACCGCCTGGACAAGCGAACTGCGTTTCTTCCGCCAAGTTTATAATATACAGTATATTATTGCGTTGTTGACCTTGGGGTGGGAGAGAAGAGTGGTGCTTCGGATCCATGGCAACGACGGGTGGACTTGAGAATGTGTTGGTGGTGTTGGTGTTGGTGTTGGTGTTGGTGTTGGTTGTACCAGTAATCACACGTTCTTCTCGAAGCCCGCTGAGGTGTTTTCTGCAGTCGTCATCAGGAACACAACCAGGGACGGACTCGGTACGGACGCAGGCACCTCTGCTGCTCTACTCAGCACAACAGCCCACTACTAAATACAGTACGTGCATGTGTTGTGCTGACGAGCTGCTGTCATTAATGTTGATGACCAGGGGAGACGCTGATTGTTGAGTGGACGGTGACGGCGCCGAGTAGAGTATACAAACTTGGTATCATGCTGCGAAATTTCGACAAGAAATGCATGAAGACAGAAAATACGAAGTACAGATTGACTTGGTCGTTCCATGGCCAATGCTTCAATCTTTACCGTGTACGAATCTCTGATACTTCTACGATGTAAATTCTTGCTGGACAGCCGCCCACCCGGAGTGTAGCGCTTCATAACCGCCTGGGAGGATCAACAAGCATCGCAAGGTACAGGAAAATCTCCACATATGGCGGCGTCAGCAGTGCAGCACCGGCGCCTCGCTTGAGCCTGAAATGGAAACAAAAAGTCCAGTACCGAAACTTCCGATTTGGATACAGACTGAAATCCGTGGTCGAATTGACCGAGAGACCAGAAAATAGATTCTGGTTCCTTACTGGACTTCGCTTCGTATCCCCTCTTCTTCGCTTCGTATCCCCTCTTCTTCGCTTCCGTACCTAGCGAGAGACGCAGCGAAAGACCCTGTACTCGAAGACTCGTAAATTTACAATACGGTAGCAGTGCAATTTGGTCGAATTGTTTCCTTCCGTGCTCCCATGGTGATGAGTGTTGACTTCCTTTGGACGAGTCCTTTTTTGCCACGCCTTCCAAGAATGGCTTTGAGCCGTATTTTGGGCCTGGCATCACACCCTGCCGCGTCTGCACCACCCACCAATTGCACCGGACGAAGTAAAAGCGATCCGTACCTGCAGCCGCGCCCCTCGGGTCTGGCCCACAAAATCCACCGATGCGGGACCTTCACACACCCTGACACCCCCAACGACTAAATTGACCCGTGATGCAGTGATGGTTCAGCACACCTGCCCACCTCCACTTGCCCACCTGCACACCCGCACCCTTGGACCTTCCCGCTACAAAGAACGCCCCTTCCCCCGGATCGTCTTCTGCCTTCGACTCTCTTCACGGCAGTCACCACCAACGACAGTCTCTTGCTCGTTCTCTCTCTCTCCCTCTCCCTCTCCCCTTCCCTCCCTCGCTTTTTGGCTTTCGGCTTTGGCCAACTTTCTATCCTTCGCTACCCGCAAACTCTACGGAGGTACCTCACTCTCTCTCTCTTGCTGAATACTGCGTATTCTAAACTCTTACCCGTACACATCCAACACCACCACTGCAAGCTCAGTCACCACATTTGCCCTCCTCGCTCTCACTTTGGAACAAACATCTTCCACAGGTTTGGATCATCATTTCCCAGATTTTGACCCGAAAAAACCTATCCAATCCCTCACCACAAACACACGCGGTTTGAGACCAGCATCAGCCAATCCAACGCCTTGCATTCCAAGTAAATCACCACCACTCGACTTTTGGTGGAAATTGGCCCTTTTTCTCGACGAAAAATCAAAACAAAAGGTCCGTATGCTCTGCTTTGTCACCCAACTTTTTTTCCTTTGTGAGATATACACAAAGCTGGCCCTTCATCACTTCTTCTTTCCTCTCAAGATCCCAAAGATTCATTCCAGTCGTTCCCTCCATCAACTACATTTCAACTCACTCGAGTCAATACGCTTAGCCAAGCTTCATCAGATACATACATACAACCATTTCATTTGCTAACAACCGCTGGCCGGTACAGACAAACACAACCGACAACGAAACCACGACTATAGATTAACATTTTCCCTCATTTCAAAATGAAGACCACCACTTTTGCTATCGCAGCCACTTCCCTGCTTCAATTAACTCTTGCTCAACCTTTCCGTAGGTTTCTTTCCCTTCATCAACCACCTGGTAAAATCTAACTCTCATATAGGTCGACATGCTCATCAGCACCAGAAGAAGGAACTCATCACTCACGTCGAGACAGTATACGTCGAAGGTCCTCACGTTATTGTCTACGTGGACCAATATGGAGCACCACAGTCTACTGAGACGGTTAACCCTGCACCCCCAACTGCAACACCAACACCAAGCCCTCCCCCTGCTCCTCCTGTAGCTCCAGCTCCAGTTCCTCAACCATATGTAGCTCCGGCCCCAGCTCCAGTTCCTAAACCATATGTAGCTCCTGCTGTAGCTCCGGCTCCAGCTCCAGCTCCTCAACCATATGTAGCTCCTGCTGTTGCTCCCCCTGCGGTTGAACCAGCACCAGCTCCTGTTGTTCAAGAAGCTGCTGCACCTCTCCCAACGTACTCAAACCCAGCTCCTTCTAAGCCTGCCCCCGCCTCTGTAGGAGATGGATTCGGATTCTCCTACTCCCCATACAACGGTGATGGAACTTGCAAGACTCAAGCCCAAGTCAACACTGATTTCGCAGCACTCCCAAGTGATTACTCTACCGTCCGTGTTTATGGCACTGATTGTGAGCAAGTCGCTAGAGTTCTTTCAGCCTGCAAAGCCAAGTCCATGAAGCTCTTCGCAGGTGTCTTCAACTTGGCCAACCTCAACTCGGAGGTTCAAACTATCATTAAAGCTGCAAATGGAGACTGGTCCCTCTTCGACACGATCTCCGTTGGCAACGAGCTTGTCAATGCAGGTCAGACCTCTCCAGGTGCCGTCCTTGCCGCTATGGATACCGCCCGAGGACTTCTCAAGACGGCTGGGTACACCGGACCTATCGTGACCGTTGATACCCTTGTTGCTACACTTGCTCATCCAGAACTTTGCGATAAATCCGACTACTGTGCTGTCAACTCTCACCCATTCTTCGATGGTAACGTTGCCGCATCCGAGTCGGGTAAATTCTTGACCGAGCAGATCTCCAACTTGAAGACCAAGCTTGCCAACAAGAACCAACGAGTTGTCATCACTGAGACAGGTTGGCCATCCAAGGGAGGCGCCAACAAGAAGGCTATTCCTTCCAAGGATACCCAACTTGCTTCTATCGAGTCCATCAAGGCTGCATTTAGCTCCAACCCAAGCTCTATCATTCTTTTCAACACTTACAACACCATGTGGAAATCCGACAACCCGTCCACCTTTGGTGCTGAGAAGTACTGGGGATTCCTTGGCGACTCTCCTTCGGGTTAAATTCAAACCCGTTCTGAGTTCAATATTGAGAAAATGGTTTCCTTTTTTCACACCCTCGACATTCTCAACAAACACACATTATTTTCTTGCTTTCAATGTATGATGTGATACAATTCGGACTACGAAACGAAACGAAAAAAGATCTGGTACAAAAGGAATGATTGAGTGGAAATTTTTGGGAGCACAAACTTCGCTTTGTACAAATTTTTGGGGCGTGTTTTCTTCTTTTTCATGGGGTATATATTTCGAAGGATACCATAAGGATTTCGGACTGGGGTTTATGGGTGACGAGGGATGAGCAGACGGGAATCTTGTTTCTTTGGCTCCTTTCAAGTTGATGGGTATTCCTCATCTCTGTGAGGTGGCTATTATCTTTTACACTTGTTTCACATGTACATATTTACAGTCCCGTTGCGCACAATCTTGTGCAGGACTGCTGGCACGCAATTTTTGGGAGATCTTTTTGATGAGAGAGAGGGGGGTTTATGAAGATATTTTTTGCACCTTCAAGACACATTAAGATTGAGTGCGATGTGATGACAGTGATGTTATGTTGAAGTGAGATGACAGATGTACAGTAAGAGGTGTTGTAGAGGTAGAGGCGTGCTGTGGGAAAGGGAGCTTTCGAGTTTGTTACCTCGACTTTCGTTGCTAAATCGTGGAGCGGGAGTAAGGGAAAGGTGTTCAGAGGTCCAAAATTAGTACTGTATAGTTCAGCGCGTATGCGTGCGTGGATGGGGTTCTCACTTGAAGTACATTTCATGACGTTAGTGATGTGCAATATGCTCTTCACGTAGACCTTTCTAGGACTTGGAATACAGTTCTAGAGGGAGTGGGGAGTAGAGTGTATATGGAAGACTGGAGGTTGAGATGGCTATGTGTAAGAAGGGAACCTTGGATAGGTAAGATGGGTAAGAGGTATGGGATAGTCACGTACACGCTGTTGTGAAAAGACTGGATGATGGGTGTTTGGGTACTTACTTGGATAGGATGGGATTTGGTGGATAGGATAAGGAAGAGGGAAGAGGGAAGAGGGAAGAGGGAAGAGGGAAGAGGGAAGAAGATATAGAGGAGAGAATGTTTGTTTTTGATAATGGAGTTGGGGGGTTGTGGTTGTGGTAGTGGTAGTGGATGGGGATTAGAGGGGATGGAACTTTGAAGGGGGTTTTTTGGTTGTTATTGTTTAGGTACTGTACTTTAGAGGGAGAGATTTGTATTGTATGTTATGTTTATTTATAAGCTTGTGACAGTGAGAACCGTAAACAGTGTGAATTAAAGTACCTGGTCCGTAAACGAGGATTTAATGCTAAAGAGAGAAGAAGGGAGTTCTAAGTACAAAGGTGGGTTTATATACCCGAGGCCAAGGAGGCGAGTCATCTTACTCGCGCGGTGGTGACCTACGTTCTGGCCAGGGACGTCACAGTGAGTAAAGCTAAACTTGTGGTTTCAAATTGACTTTTTTCGTAGAGTCGGTATTTTGGTCTTGAAGTGGGGAGCTTTATGAGGGCTAGGAGAGTAGTATGGTATGGTATGTTGTATATAGGAAGTGTCAAATGCTTTGTTGTAGGATGTTACCTGGGTATATTTGAAAGGTTGGTAAACCGTCTCTCGGGACAACTGAATCTTGTGGTCAATACGTATATTAATGTTGATAGCGCCTATGGATATCTTGAGCTCCCAAGACGTTGGAACTAATAGCCTATCCCGAGGATAAAAGGACGGCGTATGGGGAGATAGATAGATAGAGTAAGAGTTCGTCTAGTGGCCAATGGGATACAGGAGTCTTTCAGGCACTAATCGTGTTGAATGAGCTAAAGTTTCTGTTATTATGCAAGGCTAGAAAGGGGTTCTTGATTGTTGGGATGGTTGGATTGTGTTAGTATAGCAGCGGTTTGTGGTAAGGGTGGGATAGTTTCGAGAATCTTGGGGTTCTGATTGACAGTAGAAAGGATTTCGACGGCAGAGTGGGTGGTTGTATTTAGGACTTTATGAGGTAGCGTAGTAGGTCCTGTGAGTTGAGATTCTGTTTGGTTGGAGGAAGGGAGGTCAATCCGGATTTGGGAGATGAGATGATTGTTGGGATTTAAGCCAATGTAGGCTGTAGCGCTCCAAACGACCATGTCGGATCATAGAGAAAGTTTTTATGGGTTGGATTCAGTGTGTGGTAACGTTGGGTCTTTATGTTGCAATTGTAAGCTGTGTATGCTGAGCGTTCGTGTGTGCACGTGGGTTTGTGGGTTCTTTGGTGTGGAATTACGGTATTTTGATGGGATGTGATGTGATGGGATGGAGGCTTATTTGAGAGAGGATGTTGTCTTGTGCTTAGGGTGAGTTGGCTTTATTCTACTGGTAAAATGCTGATGTGGGGTATGTGAGATGTTCTTCTTTTGCTGTTTCTTTTCCCGAATCCCTTTGGAATGGGGGTGTGGTTTGGTCTGGTTTGGTTTGGCTCTTAGGGTCAGAAAAGGGGTTATTTGGTCTGATTTGAGTTTGAGGTTTGAGGCTTGGAGGTGATATTATTGGTGATATGCAAGGGATGTGAGTGGCTATGTTTGGATTTCATTCATTTATTTTTGCGATTGGTGTTGTTCAAATTATGTGAAATGTGGTGTAGATAAGACGAGTAAGTAGACCTGATTACTTGTAACAGCCTATTGTCTTGTCTTGCAACTACTATATATAGAGATAATGTGTCCTCAGTATCGAATTCAGACAAAGCCAACGCTCTGGAAAAGGCAACAACAAATAAGCTATAGCAGGCGGGAACAATGGACTGGTTGCTGTTTTGGAGTCGGCCATATGCGTATGTATGGTGTCGCTTACAACGAGTGTGACTTGAACTACGAGATACCAGCTTTTTTGGATGTAGAATAAGGTTGTGAGGAGTTGAGCTGATGGTATAGGGCGAAAATGACACTAAGCTATTTTTGGACTGTAAATACTCCCAGAAATTAGTGGTCCAGACCTCGGGTTCTTGTGTTGTGAAGTAATTGTTCAGATAGTTCTTAGTCTAAGTGATGAGTAAACGTGACCCTACCACGATGATCAAATATCTTCATTGCCCCTGTCTTAGTCTGCTTTGCAGGGAGGTTGAACAACTGTATTTTTTGGCGATAAGTGAAGTGGTTCCTGTCACGGACAAAACATTACTCCTTAGATCTAGATATAGGTAACACCACCCAGGTCCACCCTTAATATGTTTCTTACCAGCTATTACATCACCCCTTTTTGAATATCCTTGCAACCTTGAGTCACCGCTTCTCTCCCTAGCAAGTGATTCGTTGACTTGTTGTATCGATTGTTATGTTTTCGTATATTTGTGTGACAGTTTTTGATTTAGTGAATAAGAGTTCGCTTCGCGATGTTGCGGGTGTACCCTTCCGTAGATAGACAAATACCTGAGGAGTGCGAAGAGCGTCTCTCTTCCCTCCTTGCGAACAATCTATTCCTTGATCCCCACCATAACATATTGTTCGCCAGCTTTTTTACTCGTACAGCGTGCACATCGTCGCTGTACCTATTGCCCTTGAAATACCTTTGCCATCGCCCATCGCCCATCGCCCATCGCCCATCGCCCTTGCCACTCGAGCTCATCATGCCTGTATTCACAGTTGAAGAACTCCAAGCTGCCGTTGATAATGGTACGCTTGGAACTTTCATCACTGATAACAACGACACCTTTCAGCAAGGCTTACGTGACCTGCTCTCGCTCTATAATCAAACCACCATCGACAAGAACACTGCAGAACAAGCACAGCACATCGCTGAGCAAGCTCAACAAGCCACTGAAGCAGATGCTCTACAAGACGCCAACGAGTACAATCGACAAGTCACTGAGTTCAACAACCGTATTGCGACTCTCAACACTGAGATCCAACGTCTTCAACACCTCCAAGCTACTCCTACTCCTACTAGTAACCCTCAAATCAACGAGTTACGAAACCAAATCGAACAACTTCGAATTCACCAGAATGCCCCTGCTCCACCTATCCGATCCGTCCCCCACGCAGACCCGGCCAAGTTTGGCGGCACCCGTAGATCCGCTATCGAGCTACGATCATATATTATCGACCTCAAAGTCAAGCTTCGCACTAATGCTGACTGGTTCCCAACTGAGCTAGAACAAATGACTTATGTCCTATCAACCCTAGAGGGAGAGGCACGTAAGCACATCGACCCTCACCTCAACGACGCCGGCGAGTTTACTACTTTGAACTCTGTAGAAAGTAT